CCAATCTTATTCGTAATACCAGTTCTATTTTTCAAAACAACCCTATTGGTATACCAATATTAACCGTATTTCTAATCCAAACCCTATTTGTAATAACGATCAATCTTATTTGTAATGACCGATGAGTTGGTTTTTATATGGTATTGTTTTTACATTGATTGTAGAAACATTTTGTAACTAAAACAAAAATGTGAGCGTAACGATTCACTAAACAATGAATCTTCTTTTTTACCTCCATGGCTGAACCACCACATTTCATCCATGTAGTCAGGCTGGTGCTTTTCAAGAAGAAGTCAGCAAGAAAGACAGAAATATTTGCAAAAAATATAGAAAATCGAGAATATATAGTTTCCCCAGATAAACGATCCTGGTAAAGATCCACTGAACGTATCTATATAGTAACTTTCCATGCTATCAGGCTGGTGCTCTTCAAGAAGAAGTTGTTCGTAAGAACGTCACAAAACGCTGGATGGACAATCACATATTTCATCTCCCCTTTGTTATCTTTGATTACAGTGGATCAAAAACTTGAAACTCTCAAATTGTTTATTTTAGTTGGACTAAACAACAATAAAATTGCACAACCTGCTCACGTTCAAGTTATTTGGTTAAATGTTTAATCGTTTCTGCTCTTCAGACCTGCTGACACACATTTAGTTCATGTAGGTCTATGCCTTTGCTATTTCATTTCAAAGTCGATTAATTACAAATACTTGGTCAAATACCAAGATGTGATTTTTTGTTTGTTTTATGTATGTAATTCTGCACTAGCCGTATAGCATGACTTGTCTGGGTGTATGATGTATGTGATATTCTAATCGACTGCGCAACCAACGTCAGTAGGCTCGTTCAAAGTTTGTTCATGTTAGGGTCGCCGTCTCTCATTCAAACAAATTCTGCAAATTAATAAAATCATTTTCAAATTTCACTGTTTCTAATCAAATATTTACCTTCCATGGAGTGATGTGATAGATATATTCTGAGGACGATTTTAGTTATTATTGTATGACTGGCTATGAACGAGACAGTTGATTATATAATGTAATCGGATATCAAAGAAAGCTTAGAAAGAACTCCCATGTGCTGAGAGTATTGGAGACACATTAAATATAATTCAAAATTACTTATCAGAGATAGTGATAGTGATGGAAAAGCCGAAAACTAATAATGCAAATCAGAAAATTAATATGAACAGATTTTAATGGAAAACTAATGAGGTCTGCGCAATGTAACAGACCATCTATGTACCAAGTTGTATTGAAATGTGATTGGAACCAAAAAAAATTATAAATTAATATGCTTATTAGGGAATTAATATAAACAGATGTTAACCCCAAACTAATCAGGTTTGTCCTAGAGCATCTTTGCACTGAGTTTCATTGAAATGGAATAATTAGTACTTTAGATATCAGTGTGATAGCTTAAAAGTGGTTAATTATGTAAATTAGTAATTAATATGTACAGATTTTAACCCACAATTGTCTATTGTCCTACAGCATCCATATACAAAGTTTCATTGAAATGTGATGATTAGTACTTGAGAAATCAGTGTGAAAATTAATTAATTATGCAAATTAGGTAATTAATATACACAATTATTTACCCTAAAACTAATCAGGTCTCTTGATAGTCCTAAAGGATCTATGTACCAAGTTTCATTGCAATGTGATAATTAGTACTTGAGATATCTGTGGAAAAGCTGAAAATTAACTAATTATGCAAATTAGGTAATTAATATGCACAAATATTTGTCCCAAAACAATCAATCTCTGCATAGTCCTTGAGTATCTATGTACCATGTTTCATTGAAATGTAATGCTTACTACTTGAAACATCAAAAGCTGAAAATTAATTAATTATGCAAATTAGGTAATTAATATGCACAAATATTTATCCCAAAACAATCAATGTCTGCATAGTCCTTGAGTATCTATTTACCAAGTTTCAGTGAAATGTAATGCTTACAACTTGAAACATCAAAAGCTGAAAATTAATTAATTATGCAAATTAGGTAATTAATATGCACAAATACTTATCCCAAAACAATCAATCTCTGCATAGTTCTTGAGTAT